TCCTAATTTAGCAAAAGGTAAAGATACTCGGATGTATGAGGCATACAGGACCCCAGCTACCTACAACCCAAACAGAGCAACACCCAGGCATATAATAATAAAAATTCCAGAAATTCAATACAAGAACAGAATATTAAAAGCTGTAAGAGACAAGAAACAGACCACCTACAAGGGAACACCCATCAGAATTACAGCAGATTTCTCTGCACAAACCATCAAATCACGAAGAGCGTGGGGGGAAATAATTCAAGCATTGAAAGATAATAATCTCCAGCCAAGATTGAGATATCCTGCACAACTGTCCCTGGAAATTGATGGAAAAACAAGGTGCTTCCAGGATAAAGAGGAACTGGGGGAATTTGCAACCACCAATTCAACTCTACAGAGAGTATTGCAGGATATTCTAAAAAAAGAAAAATACAAAGAATCCAGAAATAATGGCAGAGAGGCCACAACGAATGGAGCAGAGAACAAAATGAAGAAGACAAACTGACAGCTACGGACAGAAAAAGAGCTTAACAGAAATGAGGCAGAGAAGATTGGATGATAGGAACAGCTATTTTGGAGAAAATGACATCTTAATAGGTAATACAGATTTAGTATCATCTTGTTTTGAAGTCTCATCTAGCTTTTGTCCTTCTGTCTCCAATGGTCTAAATAGGCTGTATCTTATTGGATTTTATTATGTACGATAGTATAAGCAAAAACCTTTTAAAGACAAGGAGATTATACAGAAACCATTGTTCATTTTGTTAGTCGATTCTAAATACTCTGTAATGCTGTCATTCTCTTGAATGGTTTTACATTGTTTTGATATACTTAATGCTACAGTATACGAAGTTGTACTCAAGGATTTCAAAGAAAGAAACAATATGGTAACTACTTTTAGGTTAGGATTATCTGGTGGTGAAACACTATTCTGCTTAAATGGTTATGTTTTGATCTGCGCTGTTTCGTTGTTATGCCCTCTTTTATCTCAATCTCCACTCCATTATTTACTTTTTTATCTTTATCCTTTTAATTAAAGGGAAAAAAATAGCAGGATATATTATAGTAACCCACTTTGACTTTTCATTACCTTGATTTAAAGCCCTGTATTACTCTCACCATCTGGTTTTTAACTGATGTTCCCCTATTCTGTTTTGCTGGATAGTATCAGGTTCGAAAGTTTAGGCATCAGCTGTGAAGATAATGAGATTCATTATGACGCCCATTCTTGTTGACTTTTGTCTACTTTTGAAGACCTACAATGTCTCCAATGTTTTGGTTTTGTCGGTTTTGTTCTTTACTGTTTTGTTCAATTGTATTATAACTAATGATATAGGCAATTCTATTAGAGATAGCGGGAGGCATTATGGTAACCATTGTTGATCACCTTGTATTATGTTTTTACATTATCTATTATGTCCACCCTTTTGACTTGACCGATTCTGTTCTGTTATGTCACATTTGGTTTTACTCTCTTCCAAAAAAGTAATAAGAACCGTGGGAGCAATGAAACCCAAAATGTGTAATAGTCATGGTACAAAAGAGAAGAAAAGAAAGTGCTCCAAACTATATAACTGCATGTATATTTAAGTGTATAAGATAGAAAATGATATCACAGAGTTTTATCGGATCAATGAACAGAACTGTTTGCAGTATCATTGATGGAATGTCCACTTTACAAGCTCTAATTTTGTGACTTGAACAATTATTTCTAAGATGACAATATGTAATCCATTAACTAGTGATTTCCTACTGTTCATTTTTTTTCTGTAAATCTGTATAACTTGTACCCTTTCCCTGCTTTTTTTTTCTTTTCTCCTTAAATAAAATTTAAAAAAAAAAAAAAAAGTAAGCACATAAATATACATTCTTTATTCTTTGTATTGCTTTTATATTTGGTATATTGGGGAGATTCAATCAAGGTAGTACATAGGAAAATTTATCTCTTTTTTACAGCTGTATAGTGCTTTATAGCAATACTGTTATGGACGTCCTGGATTTAATCAGAATCTTCAGAAGTGCATGGATGACCAGGACTTGTGGCGCCTGTCTGTAATCTCAGCACTGATGCAGGAGGATTTCCCTGAGTTTGAGGCCAGCCTAGACTATGTTATGAGTTCAAGGTTAGCTTGAGCTACATGATGAGACTCTGTCTCCAAAAAAAATTAAGTGCACAGATATAGTTAAATCCTGTTGGACAACCACGTAGACTTTCTCTAGTACTAGGCAGAACTCATTTTCTGGGCAGCTACAACAAATTCCCAGACACTGTGGAGTTTAACACAATAAAATAGCATTTTCCCATGAGAAATCTAGGGGTTGGCAGCTTAGGTTGCCGCTGGAAAGGGCCTGGGGAATCCCTTCTTGCCTTTTCTAGTTTCAATGGCTTGAGGGGTCTTGTGACTTGTGGGCACACTATAATAGTCTCTTGTTTCTGACTTTTGTCTTCTGTTTCTTACAAGGTCACTTGCCATCTAAGACCCGCCCAGATACAATAATCAGGATTGATTTTATCTTAAGATCTTTAACTTAATCACATCTACAAAGACATTTTCCCCCTCCAAATGAAGTCTCAGTTTCTGAGGATCAGGATATGATTTCTCTCCAGGCCAAAGGGACACATTGCTCAACCTACTACACTGACTATTACAAAAATTGCTGGAAATAATCATCTTTAACATGTGATTTTGTTTTTGTGGAGATACTGAATATCTTCTTAGAATTCTTAGAATTTCCAAGCTAAAGGGTAAACAACGTGCACTGTTACTAAGCTTTCCAATGTAAGAGTTGTATCTTTTTATACTCCTTACCAGCTATATTTTTCTATAGCTTTGGCACCTGAATGTATTGTCAAATTTTGTGTGGGCAAAAACAAACAAACAACCCAACAAAAACAATAGCACCATGTGTGGGGTATTTTTTTTTTCTAGTTCAAGTAGTATTTCAGAGTAATTTTAATTTTCACTATAAGTTTTAAACTCTTGATTTCATTACCTTTATTTATGGATTAAAGTGGGATATTTATTCAGTAGCAGGTAAGCATCTACAAAATACTTGACACTAGGTAAATTCCTAGGGGTGGGGGAGATAGAAACTCCTTGGCTTTACCGGCTACAGTGCCCTGTCTGGGCCAAAACTCTTTCAGTAGGTGACAGAAATCTATACACTCTGGTGTGTCCAGATTTTGTTCCCTACTGTCAGTTCTTTACAGTGTCACCTGCTCATTGTGGACTTTTTTACTTTTGTTTGTCTACTGCTTCAGGAGTAGACAGGAAGGTTTGGAGGTATGGGGTTGCACTTTTTATTCCCAAGGCTTAGAGTCATGCCTTCACATGGCAGGTGCTCAGTGAATGTTTGATGATAATCAGAGCTTGCTTCCTGATAGAAACATTGGATACTCTAGGACAGTGATGGTGAACCAATGGCACGTATGCCTCAGGGGGCTATTTGCTATTGTTGAAAGCTCTGAAAGGTTCACCATCGCTCTTTTTTTTTTTTTTTTTTTTTTTTGTCTTTTTTATCCGTACCAGGGATTGAACTCACTACTGCCTGCTTGCAAGGCAGGCGCTTATACCACTGAGCTAAATCCCCAGCCCCACCATCACTCTTCTAAGACGAGTATCTTACTTTTTTTTCAGTAGCAGGAAAGGTATCTTCTTTCAAATGAGTGGGGCAGTGAACACTGTAGTATGCTATCTGTAATTAGGTACAGGCCACCCTGCTCTAAAAGACTTGTCTTGACTTAAGAGAGAACATTATTTCTCATGCATGTAACACTTTTGGAGTGTGTGGTCATCTATATCTAGAAGGGCAGCTCAGCCATTGTCTTGAGGATAATGATTCCACTTCTAAGTCTGTGATTTTTATTCACGTTGAATTTATTGTAGTCTGTTCTTTTTTATTGCTGAGTAATAACCTTTGTATGAATGTGCTCTAGTTCTATCAGTGCTACTTGGACAACTCTAAAAATAGAGAACCTCTAACAAATACGAAGATTTTCTCATGAATAATTAAAATATGTAGGACTATTTCAGATTCTTATTCCATTTTACCTAATTCGATGCACTGGGTGCCTGTCAAGACCAAACACTGCACTTATCGAAGAGGATACAATGCTCTGTAAATCCCGGGGTCTGCCCACAAGGTACAGCTAGAGGAGAAAGATAGTTGGGTTGTAATTTGGATAGAAACCACGTGATTCTCAACAGCCACTTTAAGTACATGCACTTCCTGCAAAAGCTGAAATGTGGACGCTTGGACAGTTCTCCTGGAAAAAATCTGCCCATCTTTCACTTTCAGGTCTTGCTCCAGGGAACAGGTGCCTGGTTTTCAAAAGCATACCGGCTTGAGAGTCAGGTCCCTCAGGTTCTGTTTCTGGTTCTGCTACCGGACTGCTATGCAACCTTGCACAACACAGGGTGCATACATTCCCTACAAAGAAAGAGGCAAGCTCTTGGGACGAGCAACTTCCGTTCTCCAACAGAGACTGCGTCCAAGGACCCAGGTCACGGGCTGCACTCCTCACCCGAGTTGGCACACCGCGTGTGAAATAGGAGCTCCGATTTCTGCAAGGGCAAAGGGCCTTTCTCTTGCTCCCTAGTGTAAATCCTGAATCTAAAACTAAAAATAGTTTGCATTTAAAAAGGCTTGCAATTTTTCAGAATGTTTTCTGGGGGCTCTCGTGGCACTGGGGAAAAATGGAGTAGGTGCACAAACAGGATAGTAAAAGGACTGTAGCGCGAGGCTTCCCAGGTGGTTGAGCGACAGGTTCAGAGCCCTTCTACTGAACTACATTTCCCTGCGGCGCCAGGCGTCCATTGTGCCAAAGACTCCCAAGTCTGATTGGGCTGCCGTCTTGCGGTGCATCTCGGAACATGTAGTTCAGGCTCGGGCTGAAAGGGCGGGCGGGTGTCCCGGTAGGCGGGTGCGAGCCGCGCGCGTGCACCGCGTCCAGGGGGCCGGCCCGAACCTCTCGCGGGGCGGGGTGGTTGGTTCGGAGTCCTCACCGCCTTCCTGTCCCCGCCCCGCGCGGCGCGCGCCTCCTTCGCGGAACCACAGTCAAGGCGGCGGCGCGGCCGGAGAGGGCAGCGAGGGCCCGGGCGACACGCGCCGGCTGCGACCCGATGCGGTGACTACTCGCGCGGCGCAGGCGCCTGCAGCCCCGCCGGCGGGGCCACGGTGCCCGGCGGCGGCGGCGGCGGGATGTTCTCTCGACGGAGCCACGGCGACGTGAGGAAGTCGGCGCAGAAGGCGCTGGACCCCAGGAAGGACGCGGCGACGCGGCTGCGACACCTGCGGGCGCTGCTGGGTGAGCGCGGCGGGCGGGCGGCGGCGGCCCGGGCGTGGGGGTGCTATCACCGGTCGCGGGCTGTTCCGAGCGGCGCCCTGGCCGGGCTGTCACCGCTCACCTCCCGCCGCGCCTGAGGCGGAGACCGCGCCCGGGGGCTCCGGGACCGGCGCGGATGTAGGACTCTCCCGCCCCATCTTCTCGGCGGCTTGCGGGCTTTGTGTTCTGGGGCGAAGCTACCCCTCCGCCTGGCTGAGGACGGAGGTGGCTCTCAGGTTCGGGCAGCTGCGTTTCCTCCAGCGATCTTGTGTCACCTCCCTTTAGTGGCTAGTTTTGGGGATGAGGGGGTCCTGCGGACCCAGGGTTCCCTGGGCCGGGTTGACCCTGGCGAAGCTCACCCCTTACATGCGAGATCCCTGGGGCTTTCTGTCACCTGCCGCTTGTGGTCTGCAGCTGGCCGCAGCTGGCCATATTTTACTTGGTCTTTATGGAAAATCATGTTAGTGTTAACTTTTGTTTGGGACGCAGACACTGCCTGCCCCGACACAGCTTGTCCTTGTATATTTGAGGGCCGAGAAGAGAAGACTTAGGTTTCTTCTGGGTGTCTCTTAGTGTTAAAGGGTCAAAATCACCAAGTTTTAATGTCTGTGTCAATTTACAAAATTAATTTTATAAGTGAGAATTCTGAATAAAGATCTTGTTCATGAGGTTAAAATTTGCTAAATATTTCTGTGTATACTCTGTGAGCTACCTTAAGAGTAAAACCAACAAAACCCCCACCCCAACACCCGATTTTGCCAAGAGAATCTTTTGACATTCTAAGGTTCCTGGAGCTTCCGCCTGCCTGCGTGTTCAACCTGCTTGGAATACAGTGTAAATTAGTTATTGTTATATGGATTCGTTTTCAACACTTTTGAAAACAAAATGTTGTGTTCTTGGTAAACAACTTTCTATTTCCTCTAGTAAAAGACCCAGTCCATGCAGGTGGTTTTGTGCAGGATTCTTAGGAGTGACTAACACCTACTACTGGGGGGTCATTTTTTATAAGGGAGACTGGAGCAGTCTTTTAAAGCATTTGCTACTTCAAGGGTTTTTCTGTGCTAGAGATAAAACTTGCATCCTGCCCAAATCTCCCAGATTAAGTTGGCAACATTTTACAAACCAGAATCCATTCAATAGAGTTAGACTGGTTTCTTAGAGCTACAGGGCTCATTGTTACCATTGTGAGAAGGCAGATTCTTTTCAAGTCTGTGTCATGGTGGTTTTGGTCTAAGGTGTGTGCCTTAGGGAAGTTTCTTCTGTCATTTCCTAAAGCTCTTCTGACTTAGTCTTGTAACATGGAGAAGGTCTTTGGTATCTTCTGAGGTGTGCATTTTGTTGTCTATTTGTGGAATGGCCTAGTTTTAAAAAATTTTTTTATTGTACTTTTACCTGTAGGGACTACATTCTCGTACAATTTATTGAAGGTGTTCTACTTGTTCTGTTTAATGTAAACATTAGCTTTACAACTATGGCTTAAAGACTTTTAAAAATCAGTTTGTTTATTTTGAGACAAGTTGTCACTGTATAGTTCAGGCTGGCCTTCAATTAACTATGTTATCCAGGCCTTGAACTTGTGGTTAACTCAGTCTCCTGATGCTGAGATTAGATGCTAGAGGAAAATAACATATTACAGCACTGGTTCCTGCTGCATAATATGCCTTGGTTGATTTCCACTTAAAAAAAAAAAAAGTTTACTTAGAAAACAAAGGTGTTGGTCCGGTTGGTGGCACAGGCTTAATCCTAGCACTTGGAAGGCTGAGGCAGGGGGATTGTTGTGAGTTCAACGCCAATCTGTTTTACATAATGATGGCTGAAAGATAGAAATTAAACCCAGATCACAGAACTTAAAGGAAATAAATAAGTACTGTTACATTTTTATGCTTTTTACGTCTATCTTTTTTTTCTACATATTTTATGTTCAAGTGATAGTGAGGATGCTGTTTTTACGTCCAGATGTTCCCCTGGCTGGGCTTGCAGCTGTCCTGGCCACTTGCAGCTGCATGTCTTGGGCTCTTACTTCCCCTCTCCCTGAAGTCTGTTTGGGACTCCCCCGGGGCTACAGCAAGGTCTGCATGTAAGGGGTGGGGGTGCTGTGAGTGTGAGGAGACATGTTTTGTCCCTCCAGTGTGAGACAGGACAAGTATTTTGGTAGGTAATTTCCCTATCCTTCTTTATTTTTGACAGCACTCGTGGATTTATTTTCTTCTTAAAATGTAGTCTGTATTTAAGACAACTGGCTGTGGAAGGTAGCATGTTTCTCAAACTCATGATCACAGTGCTAATTCAAACTTGCAGGTCCTGTGGCCTGGCTTAATGAGGTGTGTTGGCCTGATATTATTAACTTTATGTGCCTGTAACGGCAGCACTTGAGAGGCCGAGGCAGGGGTTTGACCATGAGTTTGAGACCAATCTAGGCTACCTTGTAAGACTGTGTCAAAAAACAAGTAATTTGCTTTATTTTGTAGAGGAGCAACTGAGGCAGATAGGCTTTAAAAGGAGCCAAACCCTGTTCTCAGTGGCTTACATGCTACTTATAGGAGGAAAAAAGAGCCAACTTCCAGATCTCCTCACACCATGGAAACCATCACTGGACATGTACATGGATAAATAGGACCAAAACAGCCCACACAGCCTGTGTGTTAACTGTTGCCCCAGCAAGGCTCCATGTCTGATGGGAAGCTGAGCACCTGGTGTGTCAGGTTGCAAATCACCTATAGAGCGACAGAAGTATAACAAGAGGAGTCGGTATGAAATAATGATAAATGTGTAGTAGCTGTTACATAATTAGACAGATGACTGCAGGCAGACTCCATGATAGCATTTCCGAGGACAAAAGGCATCATTATTTTTGTTTGCTTTTGATTTTTGAGATAGGATCTTTCTATGTAGCTCAGGCTGGACTTGAACTCACCTTGATCTTCTTGCCTCAGCCTCTTGAGTGCTGGGATTATACCACACAAAAGAGAATCATTACAGTGATATAAAAGTGGGGCATCTGGAAGGAGGTTCACTCCTGCTGAGCCTTGAAGAATGGTTTGACAAGTGCTGTCCAGTGCAAATGTCACATAAACCTCATTTGTAACTTAAAATTTTCTACTTACTGCATTTGAAAAGTGAAAAGAAAGGAGAAACTAATTTTAATAATGTATTTTGTTTAATTTCATGTATGGTATATTGTATGTTTTATAGCAACCAGTAATCAATATAAAACATTAATGACACATTTACATTATTCCTTATTAAATCTTTGGAATCCAGAGTATGCTGTATACTTAGAGTGCATAGTGGATCGTATTAGCCACCTTTCCAATGACCAGCAGTGAGATGTGGTTGGTAGCTACACATGGGGCATTTGGGGAGGGAAAGAAAGAGGCCAAGGGAAGACGAGAGACTGGTGGTGACTCTGACCACATTCCTTGGGGCAAGGGATAGTGTTGCGCACTGTGCAGCATCCTGCTTAGGCCGGGGAGGGGCGGGTAGGAGAGAGCCAGGCTGGGGTCTGAACCCCAGAGGGCTCTGTTTGCCTGAGTGGCCAGTGTGCCTCCTTTCCTGCAGACCTGAGCAGGGCTGTGGGCAGAACTTGAGTGCTACCTGTCTTGATAGGGGTGGGCTTTGGGGTTGGGTGGAGGACAGGGGGTGGGGAGTGGGAGGTGAAGGGGTAGGCTGGATGCGGGGGTGGGGGGTAGTGGTGGGGGGTGCGTCCTGGAGGGCCTAGGGGAATGGAGAGGAGAGATGACAGATTGCCTGAAATGAGGAGGTGGGTCTCTACCCAGCCTCCGGTCCTGGTGGGTGGTTCTCCATGCTCAGCCATGAAGCAAGGATATTAGGACCTGGCTGGAGACACTCCAGCCAGTCATGGTCCAGGTGGTCATGGAGTACAGAATTGGGATCAGTGCTGTCGCAGTCAAGTCAAATTGAGGGACTGAGGTTTGACTGCAGATTTGGAACCAGAGAGTGAAGAGTTGCTCACCAGCGCTCTGTGTGCTGATAGAAGCAGATACCAGTCTGGTTTACCTTCTTGTACACCTGCTGCTTTAAAGAGGGACAAGTCCTTCCACAATTTTAAATGTTGCCTTTTACCTTTATCTTACTATTAGCATTCTTTCGTGTTTTGTTCCTTTCAGTTTTAACTGCAAACATATGTAGTATAGGTGTACTGTAATTCAGCTTACCATTTCCTACAAAGTTATGTTGCTTCTCCTTTTTTATTGTTTCTATACCTTTCTTTTTTCTGTACATTTTTACTCATCATGGGAAACAGCATCTTCTACATTTTGTGATGTTTTCTTAGGGGAGGTTTTACTGAAGTCAGGTTACTTATAATGTGGTTTCCAGATCATTCCCAAGAGTTGCCCCAGCAGCCCTGTTAACAACCAGGCTTTCGACAACAAACCCATTTATCATTAGTGGTTGGTGATGTTTGGGATGATGGAAGCATCTCTGATTCAGCCAGACATTTGGGAGGGGATGGGCTAATGGTGCAGAAGGTGACTTTGGTGGTGTCTGTGTGGAGTTTGAGACATATTGAGATCTGAGGGGCGTGTCTGGGAGGGAGGCTGTGGCCTGGGAGTTTGGGGCTTAATGAGAGCATGGGAAGCAGTGATGTGGCTGTTTATTATCATAATGATCTCATTGCCTCTTCCCTCAACTATGATAGAGGTAGTGCTCTTTACATAGCCTACTGAAGAGGAAACTGAGGCACCGTGGTTAACTACTTACCTAGCAGCTGCCTGCCTGTAAGTGGCAGAGCTGGGATTCATGTTTATAAATCCAGTGGTTTTGCTTCTGCTTATCTGATTTAAAAGGGTGTTTACACTTCAGAAAAGAATATTTACTCATGAGAATGAATGTTAACATGTAAACAAAACCCTGACAGTTTTTGCATATCTGGAAATGTTGCTGTGACCTTTGCAGCTCACTCCCTGGTCTGTCTGTATTTTTCCATGCAGATGTGAGGAAATCATGTGTGACCTGAGTAT